AAACAGTTCCCCTACTTCAGACACTTGCGTTGGGTCCGATGAAATTTGCTTCACCCCTGGATTTCCAGTAAACTGTCCCAAAGCAGGCGTTTTGTCTACTTTTTCCCATGTGGCTGTCCCCGCAATGTTTCTACCCGCACTTTCGTCAGAGCTACTGTCACTTTCACTTTCACTTTCGCTTTCACTGCCTGTGGCCACGATTCTTTGTTCGCCCCTGCCACACTCACTATCAGATTGTGAGTCACTATCATTAGCAGACTCACAAGGGATGTCAGATAGCTCATCGGAGAACAAGTCAGATATTTCTTGTTCTCCGGGAAAACGCTTGGACCTCAACCTCTTCCTACCTTGATCCATTTTGCACTAGTAACTTCCTGCCTGGTGCATGCAGCTGGAAGATGAACAAAGGCATTTTCTTTTGGAGGGAGAAAGGAAAACAGTTGGGTCATAAACAGCGGGGTCATGATACTGACTACGAAGCAAACATTCAAGAGGTCTTTCACGCACCAGTCATGCGTCTGCCTGGCGCCAGTGCAAGGTGTAGTGTGTTTCAACATAATGTGTCCTAAAGTCATAATAATATGCCACCGGTCCGCAAAGTGTTAACATAAGGTTTGTCACACAGGAAGGAAGTGTAAAAGTATCCCTGTGCTTAACTAATTTAGCATTACACCATGAAGGTGTGTGGGGGAGTGGGTGCATAGCTTCACATATTCTTGACCTTGGTATTAGTTGGAGGTGAGTGGTCAGCTTCACGCCCTGGCAGCTTTACTCCAGGAGGAAGAGCTGCCGATACCCATTGGATGGGTGGCTGGGTTGGCCCCAGAACCAGTCTGGATGATGTGGGGAAGAGAAAACTCTCACCCCTAATGGGACTCAAATTCTGATCCCTCAGCTATTCCGCTCATAGCTAGTTGCTATACCAAGTGCACTGTCCACGCTCCACAAGATGGGAGTGTTGATGATAAATGTGATTTAAAATTTCAGTACATTCATCACTGAGATGACAAAATAAATAGTAAATTAAAGACGTGTTTATAGTAGTTAGAAAAAATAATTGTCTTGGGAAGATATTGGGTCCTGGAATTGACAGTGACATGTACAAGGAAGTAGTCTCAGAGCCTGCCACAAGTCATTCAGCTTCTGAAATTGAAGAGATGTGGTCCTTAGACTCAGACACATGGCATGGTGGACAGACCAGCATGCAGCAGCAGCAGCAGTTGTTGTTTGTCTAAACCGTGTGTCACATGAGTGTATAGGTGTTGACAAAGTTAATAGTACGGGATTATATCTTAAGTTCTATTTCATTTCAGACTCCTGGAGAAGAGATGACCCTCCATTCAGAAGTGGCCGTGATAAGGATGACAAATCTCACAGAGAGAGAGACAAGGACAGAGAAAGAGACCGAGACCGTGATCGAGAACGGGACCGAGATCGAGATCGAGACCGAGAAAGAGACCGAGACCGTGATCGTGATCGTGAACGAGACCGTGATCGGGAACGTGATCGAGATCGAGACTGGGGAAGAAACAACTGGGACCAAGACAGAGGTAGAGATTTGAACTTCATTGAATTTCATTACATTCATTCATTCATTCATTCATTCAGCACAGGATATACTGCATTTCACATTTTTATGTTCCAGATTATAAGTAAATCTATTAACAGTTATAAATTTCTGATGCAGTATATACTTTAAGTAAAGGGATTGCAATTTTATAGGGTTTCATGAACCAAGTTAAGTCAAGAACTTCTATCATGGAGGCGCCCATGTTTGAATATTATCAGCACTTCCTGCTTCATGGTTGCTGTATGTGTGTTCCCCCCCCCCCTCTTCAGCCATGAAGATGGAGGTGACATGTTCTTCCAAAGAACTGGTTGAATTTCAACAGAGTCCATGCATTGTATCCCAGAAAACAGTACACAAAAAAAAAACAAAAAAATTCTGTTTTTATAGTGTGGAAATTTGAATCCCTTGCAACTGTTCCTAGATGATATGGTGATTGCTGTGTCTTGTTTCTGTATATTGTCATGTGATCAAATGACTATAGATATGGTATGTATTGGTAATCAAATTTATTGAACACTTACAGAACATAACTACAAATCTCTACAATAGTCTCACTGAGTTACACACTCTAAAGATATTTGTAACTACAGCACACATAACATCTTCTCAGTCTTTAGTAGCTGTTGCTTGGTAGCAGCTTATAGTGGTGGACATTCCCCTTCCTCTTTGATCCCGAACTGTCCCCCACCTCATTCACCGCTTCTCACAACTGTAACTCTCAACTGACTCAACCAACCACTGAACTCCTTGCATATGGAGCTGAGGCCTTCTTGAGAAGAAGCCAAATCTGCAGCTATTCAAGAATTTCCCAGCATTTTATGGAACATGAAGGTTCATTACCATGTTCACAAGAGCCCTCCACTGGTCCCTATCCTGAGCCAGATCCATCCAATCCATACCATCCCATCCTATCTTCCTAAGATCCATTTTAATATTGTTCACCTACTACCACTGAACTACTAGCCCTTGTTATGTAGCCCCAGCATGGACCGCACAGGAAATCTCTTCCATTATTGCATGTTCTATCATTGCCAAGGGAAACAATGTGTCCACAGAGCTGTTCCCAAACAGCGGCTGTTGTACTGTCAACTGTTTACACAGTTGTTGGCAATAGTTCTACATACCACAAATTTTAAAATGCATGTAACTGTGATACAGTATCTTGTATTTCCCTCTGACAGCTCTGACTAATGTCATACACCGTGATTTAACTTGTAACTTCCTGTAGCATAATTGTAATTTGTTGTTTGGATCAGAATTTGGTAAACGAGAGTCTCGGTGGGAGCGAGAACATGGCAGTCGGATGGATTCAGATGTTGGACGGGAGGACAGAGGGAAGGACAAATGGGAGGAAGAAGACAGGTAAGAAGTTAAAAGGCAGAATTATGTTGATAATTATAATTAATTTGCATTAATGTCAGATATGCATGATTGAACTGCAAGCTTTCGGCACATATAGAACATGTATTTTGTGGTGCAGTTATGTTGGTAAGAAGCAATGTTGTTGTCTAGTTGGGTGAATGTAGTGGAGTATCACATATTCAGTCCTGTCACTTTCTGCTTGCTGAAGAAGAGTATGGAAATTATATTCAAGCATACTGTTACATGGTAGGTGACTAGACACAGGGTTTGAATTGGTAATCAGATTTATTTGATTCTTTAAACTTGTAACTGCAATTAACTATAACAATTTTGTGGATCTATGCACTAAACAAATCACTACAGCATGCACTGCTGTCTGCTGTATCTTCACTAGGCTTTGCTTGGTAATGCCTCCCAATGCCATAGATTCCCATGCTTCTGTGTTCATGTCCTTAGTGGCTGGTGACTGTGTCACAACTCAGCTCTACATTACTGCAGCGCATGGCCATTGTCTGCCTCCTCTTTCCTGTGTCCATCATTGGCTAGTACTGACTGCCTGCAGGCCCACCCACACAAAATCTTGACTCCCTGAAAGCTTGAATTACATATCGTTATGTAGCCTCATAGCAGACCCCACAGAAAGCAACCCCTCAAACAACTCATGAGATATGACAGCTGCGAGGTCACATCCAATCTCTGCTGTACAGCATCACCTTTGATTGCGGGTTCTGCCAAAGCACTGCCATGGCAATGAATTAAGATCATCAGAAGAACAGGAAATTGCACAAGCTACAAATGACAACAATTTTATGCCCAATTGAAGTCTATTGAAGTTGTCGATAGAAGTCATTGGCTGAGATATTTCAGATCTTCATTGGCTCACATTAGCCAGGATTTTCTAAAAGCAATTGTCATCCCATCATGTCATCCCTTATTGCCAATCCTGCAACGCAGATCACATTTCAAGACAGCCAGTTTCCAACTTGATACCGACAGCATTTTGTAACCCCGACCTTACAAAGATAGTGGTTGACCACTTAGTATCTGTGCAAGAGTTGCCAAAACCAGGCACAAAACATACTTGTACTAGCAAACAGTTGTGCCCTATTAAGATCACACTAGCATTTTTACTGTGACAGTTAACAAAAATGGTGTTGAAATTACATAACCCCTATTGGACAAGAGCATCAACATGTGTAAAGGGAAAGCTATCCCTGTAACACCCCATGGAGGCCCATAAGGTTGTGAGATGTTGAGGTTTCTACATTTTCTAGACAGACAGCTCACAGATGACCGTGAGTTTGTCAGCCTTATGCACCAGCCACCCTTTACTCCCAGGAAGAGGGCAAAGATGCCAGGTACTAATTTCTGTTAAAAGACACCTTGGCCATAATCTGGCTGGAAGGATTAGGTCAGTTGAAAAATCCAGTAACCTCATCGGGAATTGAACCTGGGACCTTCTGGGTTGTAGTATAACCTTAAGAGCATAGCGACACTGTATGGAGACCTTTAAGGTATAGGTGAGTGGCCGTGCGACACAGTATGGGAACACACAGTCCACACGTGCACACAGTGTTTTAAAATCTAATTTTAAGATAGAAATTCGTGTTCTACTTACATTATTTTTGGGCACCCGCTTTATAAGTAGACAGTCTTCCCTCCTGCGTCATCTAACTGAATGCAGAGTCCGACGTAATTCATGCACTTTGTCCGGATGTAACTGTTTCCCACGTGAAGAGCACACATGACACCTCAGTCTCGTATTAGAGGAAATCGGCCAGTAATGTTGAGTGGCCTCCTCTAATTGTAACGTTTATAAGACATCACATTTTCAACTATCCACCATGTACTCATTTCGCATGGAAGAAGCCGAAATTTAGAGGCTGCTGATAAATGACACCGATTCAGAATGCGGTACAGACGACTGTGAAAGTGGTGAGGAAGCAAGGGGGCTATTCCTAGAACAGTACCTCTGTGTGCCTAGTCCGAGATATACACAGTCAGAGTTTCTGAAGGACAAAGTACGATAAGACTTTGCCCACACTCGTGCATACAGAAAGGTTCCGACATGACTGGAAAATGTGCAATGCAAACATAAACTTCCTCCCCTTTTGCCAGATAAGGCTTAGTAAGACAGGATGTCAGCAGCATGCATTTATACTGCAGAAACGTTTTGTGCATAAACTGTATGCATATTTGTGGACAGATGCTCAAAATTGGGAAAATATTTTTTTGGAATCAATGTAACAATTTTTACAGATTTTAAAATCTGTAAATTACAATATCTGATTCTATATTCATTCTAGATAAAAGCAGCGTTTATTTCTTTCGTTTATCACAAAAATTGTAGAAATCACAGCATTTTCAGTAACATGCTTACAGTTTTTAATACTCTACAATGGCAGACATTTAAATTAACTCCGGCCTGCTGCCATTACGGGAATTTAAATGGCCCTTCTCATAAAGGATAATGCCTTGCCAGCTATGCTACCACATTGAAGAATGTAAGAAGCAAAATACAGTGGAGATTACTTTTCATTGGAAGCAAGATGCTTCTCCTCAGCTTCCAAGAAAGCTATTGCTAAAGATGGTGTCAGCTCCCCACACAGCAGACACTGGATACCCTGAGCAAAGGAGCAAACAACAAAGGTGAAGCTGAAGTGTATCATTGATTATAGTACCGATACATGTGATATGAACTCTCTTGATGATCATTAAGACAATAAATTGGTCAAACAGTGTGATTTGTCTTATGCAGTGTTTTTTATGCCTCAACTCAGCAGTCCAGAGAAGATTCTTCTTTTGAACTACAGATAAAGGAGTGAGATAACTGACATCATGAGCCATAAGTCATAGTTGAATGTGACACAGTTCCTCATCTATGAAGATTAGTGTTATGCCAAAGAAAGACCCAGAGGGTGTACTGGACATGGTAATGAGAACTCAAACTCATTCAGATGCCTACCACAAAAGTGATAAAATACCCTGACAAGATGTTGCACTGTCTCAAAAAGAATGTAAAAAAGGAAATGGGATTTTTGTGACTTAAGATCTAGAAGTTTGTGATGATATAATATTAATACAATTATTGAATTTTTGGATATTATCCATCATCCTGTTTTTTTTTTATTATTATTATTATTATTATTTACAGTGCTAGGTTTGGAAGCTAGATTCTGTCGCTGTCCTCAGGCATCAGCCTACTCAGATTTTTCTGTCCTATGTATTTAGTTCCTTTACCCCTGAATGCTGATGTACATAGTGTCATATGCTCAGAATCTAGTAATAGTACTGTAAAATATTCATATTCTTCCTTTCCAAAGTATGGTTTTCTTTTTCAGATAATGCAAAAGTGTAACTCTTCAGCTAAAACCCTGGCATTATAATTAGGCCTGTATTTGAAGTCTAAGCAGTGAATATGCATGTACTGAATATTACAGCATCATTTACATAACTGAGAGTTTCTTTGTCATGCTTTTTTATATTTCTTTTGTTTATGATTCTCCCTTCAGACTACTAATACAATTTCATTCATGCCATAATCACATTCCCTTTGCCATGAATCTTTATGTTAAGTTTTGCTTTATTATCTCATTTTGCATTATTGGATACTTTCGTTAATGTTATTTTGTAACTACTCAGCCATTTTTTTAGTTGTTAATGTTCATGAAATGGAATTCAAGAAGATGCTTCTTCACCTTTGAAGTTGGCCTGCCTGGAGCAGGGGACGTGCAGTTAAGGTAAAAATAGTGACATTGTTGTTATGTAAATGTCCATAGATACAGAAACAGCGGAGGGGATCGTTGGGTTCGTCGAGATAGGGAGAAAGATGGGGACAGAGACAGTTACAAAGGAAGCAGTAGTGGACGCTACAGAGAAAGTAATAAGAAGGAAGACAGGTAGGTGCTGACACAGGAAACCTTTATGCTCATCTCAGTGGTAAGATAAAAGAGTCTTCAGAGAAATCTGTGTGATTCCCCCGCCCCTATTTTGCATATTCATCTGTTGGGCATTCTTGAGAGAAAATATAAAATAGTCTTGTGTTAGACTGACTGTAGACAGGGTTTGGATTGGTAATTGGATTTATTGGACTCTTAGATACAGTGTATGACTACACTTTACCATTCATTATTACACATGCACGCACGCATTAGTGTCCACAGTTGTGTCTTCACTAGCTGTTGCTTGGTAGCAGCTTCCACCAGTGAATGTTCCCCTTGTTCTGGATTCTGAATTATCCCCAGCTTCAGCTACCAGCTTCTTCTGAAAGTGACTGATCCCTAGCACTTCTCAAACTCATTGACTTGACTAATTCAGTCACTTATCACCCAACTAAATCAATTCAACTGACAGAGAGTCAGAGTTACTTTACGACTGGCAGTTTACCACAATTCAATTCATTTTGACAGCAAGCCCCGTGACATGATCAGTAATTTCTTTTTTCAACTGAACACAAGCAGTCATAATCCTTATGTAACATCCTCTCATCAGAGAGGATGGGTCTGTCATTTGCAATTGCTATGGCCCTCCCCAGTGCAGTCATTCTCATGTCCATGTCCCTTGGAACTCATGACCACATTTTACTGTCTCAGATTTGAGACTCTCCCAACCCAGAGGGCCAGGCCCTCATATTTATATCCCCCAGTGACTGAGTGGCCCAGTTATGTCCCCATGTACTTGGTTGCCTTTTTGTAGCCTCCTGCTACTCAGGTCTGTGGTGGAGGCATTCAACCCTGCATCCACACAGGTTTCACCTGACTCTCACTAACTATCCTGCTTATAACATCTCGGCATAGACTGCACAGAAAACACTGTTCAGTTATTGCTTTGCAGTTGTTGCCATGGAAACGTGCTTGTTTGTGAAGCCGTTACTTATCAACAGCTGTTGTATATCTGCTTCTAGGTCTGCATGCCACAATATAATCTATAATCTTCAGTTTTATAACTGCTAATATAATGTAACGTGTTGGGAATCCAGAAGTGACTCTTCTGGATTCCAGACACGTTACATTGCTCCCTTCTAAAGGTTGTTCGTCCCTGAACAGCCTAAAGTTTCTCCCTCGGTTTCGATTCCGCGGTGTTCTGTTGACAGCGTCTGCATTCGGTCTTGGTCTCTGCTGGCATCTTTGTGCGCTGTTCGCCTAACCGTATCCGCCCCTTTCTTCAGTGGTGCTCGCCCCAAGCACTCCCATAGCCGAGAATTTGTCGGTTCGATTTTTTATGTACATTCATCCTTCCAATCTTTCTTCATTCACCCTTGCGGGGAGGCCGGTACTTCTACGTTACTGGTTCCTCCCATACTGGCCGTTTTCTTTCTTCCGCTTTGGGGGGGGGGGCCTACCCCTCCATAAGACCCAATTCTTGATTCTTAACTTCCTCAGATGTTTCTTATATCGACGTAACAGCATCTGAAGTGTGGTTTGAACTTCCTGACGTCGTCGATCCTTGTGTTCTTCCCGCCAATTGCTGGTATGGGGCCGTGGCGTCAAGTCCTTTCTCCGGCATCAATATAAATGTGTTTGGAGACATTTATGATTGCCAGTAATTTGTCTAGAAATAAACACAAATGAAAATGTTAAGATTATTCATATAGATGTGTATTATGAAGTAGGCCCAAAGGTAGACCACCTGATTGAGAGAAATAAATCAAAGGAAGCTGTAGTCCAGACAACAGCATTTTACACTGAAGCAAACAGAACTGTTTTAAAATAATGATTTATTATTGTGGTATAGCATATGTACATTCATTTTAATGCCTTGCTGTAGTGCTGTTGGTGTGTTTTGTGGTTTTTCTCAATTCTTGCAGTCTTCAAGTACTGTGATTTCTTTTATGTTACATCATTTGTGGTGTAGCTAGTATGTCCCCTTAAATTGTCTTACTGAAAATCCAGCCCGACTAATAAAAAATATATATGTTGAAAGATAGCATGTAGTGCCATTCCCTGCCTACACATTGACTGGATCAAGAAATTGATGCAAAGACACTGTAACGCCGGGTCTACGTTACGTCAGAGGGCGTCCCCCACCCCCTTTCTTACTACTTACCCCTTCCAATGTTCCACTTCCTGATTCCCGTCTGCTGAGGTCCAACGCGAGTGATCCATTCTGTTGTGGGACCCTGAACTGTGCAGTCAATTCACCTTTTCTGGTCGGTACGATTGTGATTCTTGGAGGCTTATTACCTCCAGGTACTTAGGTTGTATTTGTATTTGTTATTTAATATATACATATTCATTTGATATATTTGTGATAGTCTCTTTAATTTGGTACGTCCTACCCAAAACCAAATTTCGGTCTCCAAGACGTATTCACGTTTCAACACTTTCTCATATACATCATTTTGGAAACAAGNATGTAGTGCCATTCCCTGCCTACACATTGACTGGATCAAGAAATTGGTGCAAAGACACTTTCTCATATACATCATTTTGGAAACAAAATCAGATGTTGCACGCTAGACCACTCTTGGTTTGTGAATGCTGAACAGCCATGAAATTCATCTGACCGGTCAACTCAGTTTCGAGAAAATTGACATTTTATATTTGGGCCTCTAGTGTGTGTATTTGTATTTTCCTGAAGATACCACTGTGTAGGTATATGGTCTCATACATTACTGAAAATTAATGAAAATTCTTAAGACTTTTTTGAGAAAATCGTCATGTGTTTTGTGGCCCAGCTGCTGGGCCCTTAATTTCATTTAATATTCAGATTCACCAGTCACCCACCTGGGATGGATAGACTCATGATTACCAAATATGAATAAAACTCCTCCAACTGTCCAGGCACTCTCAGTTGAGATGAGAGTTCATTTTGAGTTGCCTGAAGACCAATTCGAGCAGCTTGGAGTTGTGAGAGCAAGCATGTGTGCGTGTTCACACAGACAATACCAGGAACCACTTCTTTTTGTAATAAAACATGAAAATCTGCCAATATCTTTGAGATCAGTTTTTTCATGGTCACAGTGCTTCCTTGTATTTACTATGTATGCGGGATAGTGAAAAGGTTTGTGGAAGTTATGTAGAAGACAGTGGGAGTTGCTGCATCGGTTAACTAAACAAGTAAAGATGCTGCTAACCTCATTGGTAGAATGTTGCAAAAATGTGAGGCAAGCAGACTTGCTTGTTGTAAAAGCAAACGTCAAAATTCTTTTCCATTTTGTTCTTAATTGTTATTCTTCCATTCACACAGAAATAATGCTTATTTTTACTTACATGATGGGCATCTCAAGATGTTCCTAACTTTTTTTGTTTGGTTTACTTGTTGTTACATTAAGAATTCTTGTGATTTTTCTTAAACTTTGGTAAACAGAATAATTGGTAGGTTTTCTCTGAAGACTCTATTCTACTATTTTTTTGGTGTGTGTGTGTCTTCTCTCAACAGTCTTAAGTTGCATGTCATGTATTAATTTTATATTTCAGTAACTGATGTAGCATGAGTGTTGACAGTATTGTTTGTTGTTAGTGGTTGTGTAACCATGGATTATGGCCAGTCACATGTTGTTATTGCCTGTTTACCCATTGTCCATATTTACAGCAGTGATCTCTTTTAAGTACTTCATGCGTTGTATTTGCTTGAACAAAAAGCCATTACTCAATTTTCTGTAATGATAGCATTCAGAACCTGCAATTTCATGGGACTGAGGATCGTGTGCTGTATATATTGAATTACATGAGCTATTTGGAGCTACGGAATCAACATTCGTGTTCTGATTTGCCTGTAGGACCATGCCAGCCCTTAAACTGAAAGCAGACAGGCACACATTTTCAATCAGTTCTGTGCATACCACTTGAAAGTTTAGTTAAAAGATTCAAATGCAAATGTAGACAGAAATGTTGAGTGTATGTGAAATAAATAACGAAGTTAACAAATTTATGTAGGAATTCGACATGCTGTTGTCACCTTCAGAGTGGTTTCTTGTGGCAGCTGTTCTTGAATCTAGTCTTTTCTGCCACATGGATTAATTCCTAAACTGTGTCTACTGATATCATTTTTACTGAATATGGTATATGCTTCTGTACCTTCTTCAGTGACCCAAAATGCATCCGTTCCAGCCAAGCTTTTGTATTTGGGGATGTAAATCGCACGGAGTGAAATCAGCATAGTGAACAGGATGTTCTGTTAGGTGGATCCATTTTTGTGTCAGAAGCTGCCTTCACTGCTACTGTAGTGTGAGCTGGTACATTGTCTTGGTGCAATGCCCCCTTGTGTGTTTCCTGCCTCAACTTTTCCCTCAGACACTATAGAACTTCAAGGTAGTGTGGCTCATTGACAGTTTTCTCTTGAGAACAAATTCTGAGTGTGCAGTTCTCTGTTTATCAAAAAACACCATGAGCATGCATAAATTGACTAGTTTTCTCTGTGGTGTCTTGTTCCGCTTGTCACATGTACGTTATGTGTATCATATATTTAAAGTGATATTGAGCTGCTGAGACTTCTTCCTTCTCCATGAATGTGTTACTGGTAATACTAAAGTGATGTCTGTTGATTGATTGAGTGATTGTTCATTTATTTAACAAGACGTCAACTGAAGTTGTTGGCAGCATTGTAGATTTTGCAGTTTGTGAATGTGGTTTTGGAAAAGATGTGGAAGCAAGAGGTTTGGCTTATTTTAGTATTCTGATCTGCCATGTCATCTACAGAGACTGATATAAACCAAAAACATCTCAGGTTAAATGGAGTTTGTGAGAAGGGAGGGGAGTGCATGCATGCATGTGCTGAGTTTAGCCTCACCTGTACACAGTAGAATATATATTGGTTTGATATATAACTTCATAATTCTTGCCAGTATATGAAGGAGTGACCTCATATTCTGGAATTGTTCAATCTCTGATTTGTTTCAGTGTTGTTGCCATCATTTGATAAACGATGTACGCATCCAGTATCAGTCATCTTAGTTAAATTATTTATCAGAAATGAAAACAGTGATTTGCATAAAAAATGTTGTCATAACAATATCAACAAAACTGCTGATTTCAGGATAAGATCCAGGATGACAGTTTTCCATCAGGTTCACAATTTTGAGTACAGCAGCACGGTATCTGACACACGATGATGTAGATTGTGGGTACCAATATCAATGATATTTTCGGTGATGTCACATGGTTAGAGTATTAACTGGTCGTCCACTTTAAGTATACTTTACCATGGTTGCTCCTGTTTAAAGCCCTGTACTTGCAGTTAAGGAGTAAACCTCTAGTACAGAAAGAATTAATGGCATGTTACACATCTTCCTTGGAGGTAATCACCATAACATGTTGAGGACTTTGCAAAGTGCATTTGACCAACACTGTTTTATGCCTTTCTACAGTCTTGGTAAGTGACAGCATTGTTATAATAATTGAAATTGTTATAGTTGTCCTCTTTTGAAAAACCATTCATCATTTTAGCAGTCATGGAGACTTCCCTGCTCCACCTGATGCCCCTCCACCACCAACCTTCGCATCACCTGTTCCACCATCTGAAAGCCAAGTGCGGGCTGTGTTAGTGGAAGATTTGCTGTGTCCTCCTGGCCGAGCAACTCGACCTGCCCGACTGGTGATATTGTTACGTGGACCCCCTGGGTCAGGAAAGACATTTGTAGCAAAACTTATAAAGGTATGAGATTAATCAACATGGGTGTATATGCAGTTAATAGTATTGTGTATAGTACCATTGCTATGCAATGATCATGAGATGGGCAGTTACACCAGACCTGTTTCTGGGCAACAGCTTAGTAAACGTGATCCTGCAGCAATGATTACACATGCAACAGAGGAAATGGGGTGTTTCTGCATGGTTCACACTGAGGTGTTAACACATTGAGGACCGGTCGCATGATATCATGCTTTTGGCTTTTAAACGTGGTGGACCAGTCGCATGATTTCATGATTTTAGGACACATTAGGTTGCAACACACTATACCTTGCTATTTTGCCACGCAGCTGAATAGATACTGAGCCATAAAACTCTGGAATGTTTGCTTAGTATTCAGTAACATGACCTAGCTGTTTTCTTAACTCCCTCTAACGGAAAATGATTTGCCTGTCTTCAACTTGTTTGTACCAGCCAGTAGTTAGTGGTGGGGTATGCATCAAGGACAAATTTTTCTCCAATGAGATAGCTTATGTTCCTTGTGAGACGCGTAGTGATGGTGACTCAGACAGTGGCAGTGACACTAAAAGTGACAGTAGCTCTGACGAAAATGGCGGTAAGTAAGATGGCGGGGGACAGCAAAAAAAAGAAGCACAAAAATCTAAACCTTGATTCAGAATTTAAATACAAAGCTTTTCTGATGAATGTGGCAAAGGCCTGGGCTACAGACCAGATGGTGGTGGCAGAACCAGAGTCAGACACAGACTTAGTGTGACCGGGTCCGTCAATTCCCACCGCACGCAGGCCTCATGTGGACCCACCAGGGCAATTCTCAGGTGATATGCAGAAACATACCCTCGTGAAAATTGTGAAGAGTTTTGTGAAGAGTGAACATTCCAAGGGTAAGCATCCTTCTAGGCAATGCCGTGTTTGCACAGTTCACAAAAAAAGAAAATGGAGTATGACTGTCTACATTGCAAGTTCTGTGTAATGGCACTTCACAAAAGGGAATGTTTCCAGAAATATCACACTCTCAAGCACTTCTAGGAGCATTGGTAAGTATTCAACAATTTTAGTTCATGAAATTAATTAGGAGATTTTATATTAATTTTTAAAGTGAACAGTGCACAAGTTAGGATAGTAGGTTTAATAATGCCGGTCCCAATGGTGATTTAAATATTTAAATCGTCGGTCTTTAATGTGTTAAAAGCAAGGGACAAAGGGCGGGCAGGTCTGTATGGGAGTCTGTAAAGGAAGGTCCTGAGTGTGGGAAGCTGAAAAATCTCCACTGTTAGAAGCCATTGCTAAGGAACAGCTGATGAAGACACTGCAGGCTGGAGAAGACTTAGTGTTTGCAGCAATAATTTGTGAAGTGTGGAGATTAGCGATGGCACTGTAATTGTACTTGTGAGTCATGCGTATAAGTGTTTTTCTTTATTGCTAGTGGGGTGGGACTAAGTCTCTTGTACTGTGGTCACTTCTGGCCTATTGTACCAGCCCCAGATGATAGGTGAGGGTGATTGTGGAGCAATTGGTGGAATGAAAGGGAAACTGAAGTACTCGGAGAAAACCTGCCCCAGCGCCAATTTGTCTACCGAACATTTAGAAACAGTTAGGAATGTTGTGAATACATTTGATCCCAAAAGTGCAGCATCAATTCAAATTGCCCAAGATGTACTAAAAAGCGCAGAACTAGAAACTAATCTTTCCTATATATCTGCTCACTTCTCCCATCTTCCATCCGCCATTTCCTCACTGGAGGCAAGCAATAGCAATACTACTTTGTATCAGTTGTTAAGTGTGTTCAAAACCACTGTTTCCAAATTGAATTCAGTTCCTAGAAGAGTAGGTGAAGTAGTAAAGGAAAAAGTACACAGTATTCTTTAGAAAAATCCAGGATATGAACAGATTTTGTGAAATTGAAGAAATTTTATCCGGTAAACGTACTGAACTGCCAAGTAAAATATTGCTAACAGTGGACAAATAGCGGCGTTTGTACATGCGCCCCTAAGTTCCTGTCAGGTGGAAAGAAGTTTTTCCCACTATAAGGACATCTTACGAGACAATAGGAGGCGACTAACAATGGAAAACCTAGAACATTTAGTAATTGTGAACTGCAACAGAAGAGAACTTGAAAGTTCGGAGAGCTAATTTTGAGTACCAGTGGTTTTTTTAAATTTGTAATGAAATATGTTGGCTTTGTTGCATGATTTATATTTAAGTATAGCTTTTTATTGCAAATGAACCATTCAGTGATTACATAAAATGAACTTAAATATTGATTTGTTGGTCTTAAAATAATGTAAAATCAATTTTAATATTTGGTATAAATTTTTATGTGCATATTTTAGTGCATATTTCGAAAGTTTTTCATGCATAAATGCATATATGTTTAAGGGATTATAAGGGCATAAAAATCCGGTCTCTAGTGAAGGGCAAGGAGAACACTGGCTGGATAGTGACATACCTGAGCCATGGAATAAAGTACATTGCTCAGTATCAAGTTTTATTCAAGTCTGTCAAATAGTTTCAAGGATTAACCTTTACTTCCTTTGAGTAGGGAATTTGGAATCTCTTGATACAGAGGGATTAATGGTGAGGGTTGGGGGCATGCGGTAGCGTAGTTGGTTGAGGGGCTATGCTACAAGCCGGAAGGTCGCGGGTTCAAGTCCCGATGAGGTCATTGGATTTTTTTCACTTGACCTAATCCTTCCAGCTGCACTAGGCCCTGGGGTTTACCCAGCCTCTAACAGAAACGAGTACCAGGAATTGATTAAATAATTTTCCTGGGGAGTAAAGTGTGGCCGGCGCATAAGGCTGACAACCTTATCGCCATCTTTGAGCCAATTGTCTAGACAGTGTGGGACCCTCAACGTCTCACAACCCTATGGGCCTTCATGGCCTGGTACAAGGATAGTACTTTTTACTTTTTTTAAATGGTGAGCTTTTAACTTGTGGGTAACAATATGATACTGAAGAAATCTGGCACACATCCAGCTGAATTGTGCAAATGTTCCATTACTTTAGTGCAGTGCACAGCTAATAAAGAACAAGCCTGTGGATGGATTGATAGACATGTGCTGTTGTGTGATGCACTTAGAACAGAGAAGCATGATGAATTGTAATGTATTGACTGTTTATTTTGCTAGTCAGCTGGTTCTCAGGAAGGCAGGTTTCCCTTACATACGTATATATTAATAGTTTCCTTTCTGTTCCCAGGATAAAGAAGTTGAGATGGGAGGTTCAGCCCCTAGGATACTGGCTCTAGATGATTATTTCATGGTCGAGACTGAGAAAGAGGAAAAGGATCCAGAGACTGGGCGCAAAGTCATCACCAAGGTAATTCAAGATTTAATCCTTATATAATGAAAGAAATGTTTTAGTATTCCTTTCTTCCTACTGGAATTACTTGCCAGCAGATATTTTATTTAAACTTATAACTGCCCCTCCATTTTCTTGTGGGAGATTTTAAGGTGGATGAAGCGAAAGTAGGTTGGAGAAAAGTGCATAATGAGGAGCTTCATAACTTGTGCTCTTCTCCAAGTATAATTAGAATGTTCAAGCCAAAGAGGATGAGATGGGCAGGGCATGTAGCACACATGGGGGAAAGAGAAATGCATGTAGGCATTTGGTGGGAAAGCCTGAAGGAAAGAGACCACTACAGAGACCAAGACATAGGTGGGAGGATGATAGTAAAGTGAATCTTAGTAATATAAGGTGGATTGGTAAGGACTGGATTGATTTGGCTCAGGATAGAGACCAGTGGAGCGCTCTTGTGAACAGGGTAATGAACCCCTGCATTCCATAAAGTGTTCTGTAATTCTTAAGAAGCTGAGCAACTGACAGCTTCTGACACGGTTTCATGGAATTAGTTAATGGGCCACGCCATAGCTGAAGCGGTTAGTCGGTGGTTTCCCGCCATGGCAGCCCTGGTTCGATCTCAGGTCTGGTCAAGTGGGTTTTGTGGTGGACAAAGTAGTGTTGGGACAGGTTTTCTCTGAGTACTTCGGTTTCCCGTGCCAATCTTCATTCCACCAATTGCTCCACAATCTCCCTCACCTACTCGTATTATCTGGGGCTGGTACAATAGGCCAGAAGTGGTCGCAGTACAAGGGACTTAGTCCCACCCCACTAGCAATAAAAAAATAGTTAATGTATACTTTATCATAACAGCAGTAACTGTGGTATGACTGGTTTTATTTTCTCTTGTTCAACAGGTTATGGAATATGAATATGAAGCAGCTATGGAAAAGCATTATCGCAGCTCATTGCTGAAAGCTTTCCGCAAAACAGTGAATGATGGTTATTTCCCTTTCATAATAGTAGATTGTGTGAACCATCAGGTGAAGCATTTTGAAGAAATGTGGAGCTATGCTAAACAAAAGGGGTTCCAGGTATGTCGTAAAGTCTTGTGGTTCTATGAGGTTTGTTCAGAAAGTTCCTGAATTGAGGGTGTGGAGGAGCAGTGCATCAGTCATGTTTGGTGTTGTTTGAGTGGCCTTGCAACCCAACCATTAGTTACACAAGCCATTTTGTTCCAAGTAGATTGGACATTCTGTTTTTAATTTTTAATGTGTCTGCTTACACAGCATTGACAGACAGTTCGTGGCAAAACATTCAATTCCTACCCTTCCACAACCCNAAAGACAGTTCGTGGCAAACCATTCAATTCCTCCCCCCCCACAACCCCCCCCCCCATTCACATAACCTCTTCCATTCTGACTTTTTTTCTGTTCCCTAAACTAAAAATACCCTTAAAGGAAGATTTCAGACAGTGGAAGGCATCACTAATGTGACGAATGACTTGAAGGCAATACCACAAACATTCTTTTGACAGTGTTTCCAAAAGTGGAAAAAGTGGTGGGAAAGGTGCATTGCTGTGTAAGGGGACTATTTTGAAGGGGTTAATATTCAGTAAGCTCCACGTAGAGAAAAATATTATTTGTAGACAAATTTAGAGAACATTTTGGAACACACATCATATTGAGGTTATGAGGGTATTTGAAAAGATTATCTTTCTCCTTGAGATCTCTAACATGAGGCAAGTCTCAACTGGCTGCATATCTGTTGCTCAACAAAGGCCTTGTATCATGGGGTTAGTTAATAATTTTTAGCATGCTTTTCTTATTTTGAAAAAAATAAAATTAAGCTTATGTGATCACTTTGCGATGTGTGGGTGCATGGCATGTGTGTGTATGTTTTTTTTTTCAGGCTCTAGCTGACTGTTGACAATTTCTCTGTTGTGTGTTTATTCATTTCTGCAGACATGTGTTTTCTATGCAGTTTCCTGGCAATAGCTGCATTGTAAACACTGCTTCTTCTGTTGTTGCATGTTTATTTGTAGCCACAGACATGTTTACTGTGCTGTTGCCTAGCAATAACTGCATCTATCCATTCCACTATTCCAACTTTCACCCATCATATCACATATTTTGAATGAGTACTCTCTAATAGTGTATGATTGGTTGAAGTTGTTCATTTTCCTTTTTCTGAAAACTACATGAGAAGAGTTAATTGACCATCAACTTCTCATGGAAATCATATCCATTTATTACACATGCACAGAAAATAAGTTCTTAATATTCCTTTACATTGCCTGCATGATATTAGTGGGTTGGTTTTAGCCAGTTACAGTTAAAAATATATAGGGTTTCTTTATGCTTAATTTATTTGAATGTAAAATATAAGGCTGATAAGTATTAGTTTCATGAGTTACTGTCAATCATATTTTCTTAATAGGCATCACATCATTGTAGGAAATTAATTTGTTTTGCAGGTGTATATTTGCGAGATGGATATAGATGTGAGCATGTGTACAAAACGCAACATTCACAACCGTACAGAAGAAGACATAGCAGATATTGTGAAGAACTGGGAAGAGACGCCACGCCATCATTTACGAATTGATATACGATCACTTCTTCAGTCAGTCGCCATCACAGAGGTTCGTATTGTTACGACACATGTCTTGAATATTTAAACATAAGAGAGAGGTTGGAGAAAATTTATGTATTGAGCAGCTTCATAATTTCTGTTTTTCACCAAATATTAATTTTTGAAGGAGTCCTCCTCTCCATGTTGTTAGGTAAGTATGGACAGTTCATATATTTAGTAAAATGGAAACTTAGAAATTGTTTATATGATACACTAGATCCACACAGACACACACACAAAAAAGCCTGCATATCTGCTTGTAAACATTCAAGAATGAATATAACAGGTTGGATTATTTTGCTGATTTTATTTTCATTTGTTATGTAACACGCTGTCAGAACGGGGCCTAGTTAGTGTTAGACATAGTGCTTAATTAGTTAGGCACAGGGACAGTTTTACCTTTTTAGTGCAAGTATAAGATGTAGGAATTATGAACTAAGAAGTTGGCCCATTGGCATTGCCTGACCAGTGTTTGCATGTGATTCTAGTGGTAGTGACACAGTAAAGCTTGGCCAGCTAGAATGTAGAAGTACTGACAGAGAAACTACTGTGAAGAGAAAGAGACAAGTAGTTGCTAGTGGCAGCTACCTCACTCAGACTAGTGAAACTATTCGTGCAGTTGTTATTTTCCACATCATCAATAGGATTGGTCTTCTGCAGCATTATTATCCCAGTTAAGTGGTTGTGTGGCCATTTGAGCCATCAGCAGTACATTGCAACTTAACCCTTTGTGTTTATAACATTATTAGAAATTTCCTTGGCCAGGATGCTGAGGGTTTCTAAATGCGTACTGAGCCACTAAGTGAACTGTTTTGCCCGAAAAGTTGGTGCAACAAGGGCATAGCGAAGTTGGGGGGGGAATGTGTACTTACATTTTCGATTCTCCAATCCATGGGCCAGCTCAACACTGCTGTAATATCTGTCAGTGAGGAGGTGGTAGTCTTCAATACCAGATACACTGAGTCGTAGCCTGTCCATCAAAGAAAGATCTATTCTTGAAATATACGGTTTTTCAGATTATGGCAAGTTACACATGTCACCTGTATCATTTCTTCACATACATCATCCAAAATATCTGTAAAAAGCGATCTCTGGACATTATGTCACCAGAAATTTTGTCTGTGTTTTCCTCTCACTAGACCACCTAGTCTTCTATGTTCAGTAATGGGATTAGACCCATATTTGTAATTAGACCTAAAAACACCTTCACTTCAGGAACAGACATATCAGACCATGGGGTTATCTGAAGTTCAGGTATTTTGTTTCTTGTGTACCTGTTTGTCTCTATAACAGTGTTATTCAAAAGCTCATCATTGAAAAATGAAATAAATTATTAAGTGGGCTTTGTATCTGACAGAAGGTTAAATTGTGGCCTTGCATTTGTAGTAAATGTGTATGCCTTGGGTTTCTTGTTGCCTGTTGTCACTTCTTCCCACCCATCGACATGCAGCAACGCTCGTTTCACTCTCACTTTCCAACATTTCATTGCTCGATTCTTCACTCATGGTTTCTCCTTCAATTTCCAAATCTGTCTCATCATCAGAGTCAATATCAAGTTCTTTCTTTAAAATATCACTAATAGATTCTTCATCTGCGTCATACAGGGATTATATGTCCAATTTTTCAATCCAGAGGGCTAAGGTTTGGCCCAACATAAAAGCATGCTGCTAACACGTGATATGCTGTAATGTACTAGGTGGTTCAAATATGACCGGGACTGATTTAAAAAAAAAACGTAATTGCCAAACACTTACTTGCACATGTCAGTCTTCAACGCACTCCCCTCCAGAATCAGACCACATTTTTTCCAACTTTCTGGAAGCATCCTGATGCCCCCCCCAAAAAAGACTTGTGGTTGGCGGCATATCCACTCCCAAACAGTGTGGATGACGGTGTCGTCCTCAAACCACATGCCTTGCAAGTCTGATTTGAGCCTTTCGAACAGGTAGAAATCACTTGGGGCCAAATCGGGACTGTACGGCGGATGTGTCAGAAGGTTCCATTTCAATTTCCGAAGGGTTTCCATTGTTTTGTCCATATGGGGGCCTACATTGTCTTGAAGGAAGGCCACCCACTTTTCACCTGTCTTCCGCTTGGCTCGGATCTTACTCCAAGTTCCTTGATAGTGATGCGCCTATTCTCACGAATAAGCACGTCTGCACAATCAGTGTCCAGCTCGGTGATGGATGTTCGCGGCCAACGATCATGCGGTTCATTCTCCACGCGCTCTCTGCCCTCTGTGAAGCACTTACACCACTCAAACACACGGGTCTGTGAGAGACACTCTTCCCCATTCTGGACGTTTTCTCCAACGAGGAATTTGATCACAATGCGTTGTTCCACGCTCCGTGGTAGCTTCTGTTCTCTCATCACTCTAGCAACTTCCAGACAGGACTGAACAGGTTGTAACCCTAACAGGAGGGAGGGTGGAGGTTGTGGCTTCACTGTCGCAAGGTCGCACAGTTGCTGCAAAGTGCGGCTTGCTTACAAAAAAAATCAGTCCCAGTCATATTTGAACCACCTTGTATAAATGGCATTTGTTCCTCAGGAAGTTCAAACTATGACTTCCAGATGGCAGAAGAAGGCAGATAAAACATTCATGAATGCTTTGGCACAGACTACAGTGGCCAGTAGTGACATATGACTGGAGAAACACAGAAGAAACCTTTTTGGTCGCATATTTACATTCATCTTTGGAATAGAATTCATTGAAAATAGTGTAGTGCCATACAAGTTTATTTTGCTTATTCATTCTCTGCTCCTAAGGGGATAGTCACAGAGATTGATGTAATCCATTCAAAAGAGGAAATGAGTGCTTTGCAAGGTCTCAAACATTTCCCTCCTACCAGAGCAAGGGCATGCAGTAGAGTAATTGGTTGAGGCACTATGCTAGAAGCTGGAAGGTTGCAGTTTTGATTCCCAGAGAGGTCATTAGACTTTCAGTTGACCTAATCCTTCCAGCCACACTATGACCCAGGGGTCAGCTCAGCCTCTAACAGAAATGAGTACCAGGAATTTTTCAGGGTGTTAAGGATGGCTGGCATGTAAGGACAACAATCTCACTGTCATCTGTGAGCCGATTGTCGAGGTTTCACAATGCTGTGGGGCTCCACAGTCTTTTACAATGATAGCCTACCTTTACCAGAGCTACCTAAAGAGGTTGGTAGCTGTAAGGTTGCTTTGAGTTGGTAATGGTGGCAGCACATGTTACCACAAGGGTAGGTCTGGCAGTGAGCAAGTCTAGTGTACATGGTCTGGCAATGAAGTTCCCATAGTGGTGTGAAAATGAAGTGAAAAATACAAGAAAATAAAGAAAAAACTATTTTATTTCCATTCATAATAGTCTCTGCCTACTTGAGTACATATATTGAGTCATTTAAAACGTTTTTGAAAACAGTCAGCAAAGACCTCCAAAGGAACAGTTCTCAGTTTGGTTGTCACATTTTTCTTAAGGTCTTCAGAATCCTGAAGCCAGTTTCCTTTGAGGGTAGTTTTCACCTTAGGAAAGACAGAATGTGATAAAGAGAACATGAGATTGTCTTGACAAGTCTAGATGAAGCCTTGGTGTGATGTGAGTCTCTGCTGCCTCTGCTCGTCTGTGTGGGATGAACTTTTTGCAAATCCCCCTCTTCTGTAAATCTTCATGGAGGATTTGACAAATTATCTCCTTTTTGGTGTTAAATTCATCTGACATACTCAGAGCCCATTGACGGTCTTGTGTCCCAATTTGACAGACATTTGCAATTGTGTTAGCATGTCAAGAGGCTGAAGGACTCCCACTCCTTGGATCATCCTGGAGATCCTGAACACCCATATTTAAATCGTTTAAACCATTCAGATACACAAATATGACTTAAGGCTTCATCACCACAGGCAGTTGCAACATTTTGTAAGCTACTGTTGGCATTTAACATATTTAAAACAAAAAATTTTTATTAATTCACTGCCCTATGACTAAAAATGTGACATCATTTAAAAACACGACTGACTGACTGAGCTGCCACTCGTGAAGTCTAAGTGACTGGACCTGCTGACCCCTGACATGAGTTGGTAAGAAGCAGAACTATGCTCACCTCTCAGTAGCTGGTTTCACCACTGCTGCAGCACCAATCCATGAACTTTATTGCCGGACCACGTAGGTCTCTAGCAAAACTACCATGGGACATTTCATATTGCTTTTAGGGATGTCATTGGTGGCTGAGTCAGCTGGAGGGTTGGGGCACAGTAGTGGGTGTCAGTGGTCAGGTAAACTAACCCCTGCTGTGGTTTGAGTACTTGCCCTTTACCACACCATAGGGGCTTGTTTGGTGTGTCTGTTTTAATTGCAGGTCATGAAAATTTTAGACTTTAAAGGATTCTGATTGGTTTCTATTCATCCTCTGGTATATATAAGACAAAAAATCACAACGTTTCGGAGACTGGATCTGTCTCCATCCTTAGGTGGATGGGGGAAGATAGACATACTCGGTTTGGCCCCTTAGAAAGAAGTAGTCTCAATCACCGAAACATTTTTTTTTCTCAATCACTGGACAAACATTGGTAAGTAGAGAACAGCCTATAAGCACTTGACAACAGGTTCCATCATTGGGAGATAAGAATAAAATCACAATAAAAGACAAGCTAAAACTTTTGTGCCAAGCATGCACATGTAAAAAATATGATAAAACAGTGGTATGGATTAAGTTCCTGGAATTAAGTTAAAAACAAGGGTAAAAAATATACAGGATGTATAGCAAATTATACAGATAAAGAATCATGCCACCAGGGGGACTTCTCGAAATAAGACTAAATTCCAGAGCAAAATAGCACATGTAGCGGAAGACACTGATTTTCATAAAAACTTTCATTTTGACTTGTTGACCTCTTCATTGATGAGGGGGATCCATAAGGGAGAAATATCCAAACTGGGCTGGCCGATCGGATTAGTTGAACATGCCATGTGAGCTGATTCCTTGTACTTTCTGTACCTGCTGTTACTTTCAGTCTCCAAGACCCTAGGTTCGTCCCAGCCTACCTTATGGCCCTCTTCATATGCATGCTGAGCCAACTTGGATTTCTCTAGAAGACCCTGCTTGAGATTATGCCTGTGTTTGCGGATTCGCACAGCCAGCCGTCTGCCTGTTTCACCAATGTGGCTTCTGCCACATTCACAGGGAATGCTGTAGACACAATGTGTAGTCTGTTGAGGATCCCTTTTTGGTCTCATTCTCATGAGTGAAGATCGTAAATTGTGTTTAGTTTTGAAGATGGTCCTAATGTTATAGTGGTTTCCTATGCTCTTAATCTTCTCAGTTACCCTATGCCTGTGTTTGCGGATTCGCACAGCCAGCCGTCTGCCTGTTTCACCAATGTGGCTTCTGCCACATTCACAGGGAATGCTGTAGACACAATGTGTAGTCTGTTGAGGATCCCTTTTTGGTCTCATTCTCATGAGTGAAGATCGTAAATTGTGTTTAGTTTTGAAGATGGTCCTAATGTTATAGTGGTTTCCTATGCTCTTAAACTTCTCAGTTACCCTATGCCTGTGTTTGCGGATTCGCACAGCCAGCCGTCTGCCTGTTTCACCAATGTGGCTTCTGCCACATTCACAGGGAATGCTGTAGACACAATGTGTAGTCTGTTGAGGATCCCTTTTTGGTCTTGTTCTCATGAGTGAAGATCATAAATTGTGTTTAGTTTTGAAGATGGTCCTAATGTTATACTGGTTTCCTATGCTCTTAAACTTCTCAGTTACCCTTGACATAGGGATATAAACTGTGCCAGGAGGCTTTTCCTCTTTTTTCTGATGACTACTACCCTTGGACCTGATAAGCGAGCCAGTAAATCCTTGAGAATAACCACTGAGTTGCAGGTCACGTTTCAGGTTGTCAACCTCCATTAAACGGTCTTGCCGGTTGTGGCATATAGTGGTAGCTCTATCATGAAGACTATGAACAGTTCCTCTTTTGGCATGTGGGGGATGGTTGGAATTGAAATTAAGATATCGGCCAGTGTGGGTAGGTTTCCTGTAAACTTCTGTCATCAGAGCCATCCCTATTTTTATGACCAGAATGTCCAGGAAGGGGATCGTTCCCTCCGATTATATTTCCATAGTAAACTGGATGGCCGGTCTCAGACTGTTGAGGTGGGTAAGAAAATTCTGAATCCCCTCTGCACCATGGGGCCAGATCACAAATGTATCATCCACATACCGGAGCCACAGCGATGGTTTGTCCTGCGCCAAGTCAACAGTCAGTTGTTCAAAGTGTTCCGTGTGGATGTTGCTAACAATGGGAGAAAGGGAGCTACCCACTGCCATGCCATCCTTCTGCTGGTAGAATCCGTCGTCCCATTGAAAGTAATGGTCCTCAGGTAGACATCCAGAAGTTCCGTAATGGCTTCCACCTTCAGGACAGACCGTTCTGTCAATGTGTTATCATTTTCAAGCGTACTTCTGATGACCTGAAGGGCTTCATCCACTGGAACGTTGGTGGGGAGACTAACCGCATCAAAGCTGGCAAGGGTATCCTGTCCACAGAGATTTAATTGCTTTTAACAATTCTGTGAAGTGGCTTGAATTCTTAATGAAGGAATCAGATCTGCCGGCCAGAGGGCTCAGTATTTTTTTAAGGAAGCCAGCCAAGGCATAGCAAGGGGAGCAAATGGAACTCACTGTGGGTCTCAGCGGAATGTCTGGTTTGTGAATCTTAGGAAGTCCATATACAGGGTGTTTCACGACTGTGGGGCATAACTGCAGGAGGTGATTTCCTAGGTCTTTGTGATCAAAAATTTCATATAAACATGTGTCCAATTTTGGATGGTTACTGAGTTATGGCTGTGTTTTCATTCCCGTACACGCCCTTGTGAACTGCGTCTATCATCCGACAGGTCGCTATTTTTAGCCAGCTACAGACCGAGCGTTCTCGTTATCTCGACACTTGAGAGGTACCTAAGGTATGGTGGGTTGGTATGTACCCGCGTGGTTCACAACCGAGCGGCAGCCTGTGTTGCGGCCGGCAGAGGCATTTTCGAAAATCAGCTTTAAGCACCAATCAATTCAAATTACAGGTAATTTCACAGACAGAGCGTTCTTGTTATCTCGACACTTGAGAGGTACCTAAGGTGTGGTGGGTTGGTATGTACCCGTGTGGTTCACAACCGAGTGGCAGCCTGTGTTGCGGCCGGCGTAGGCATTTTCGAAAATCAGCTTTAAGCACCATTCAATTCAAATTAAAGGTAATTTCATGAAGTTAACTTTACATTCATACTTTAAATGTATCATATATTATGCTGGTTTATTTTGTTCCGTTTATTGTCAGTAATCGTGACATTCTATTCTGAGTTTAAAACGGTCATAACTCCGTAACCATCCAAAATCGGACACATGTTTATATGAACTTTTTTGATCACAAAGACCTAGGAAATCACCTCCTGCAGTTATGCCCTAAAGTCATGAAACTCCTTGTAGGTGTGGAGGCTTGCTGTGATATGGGGTCAGCTTTCGTTTTACCTCAGCAGGAAGAACAGTTTTACGAGGGGGGACCCAAAAATAACCGGAATTTATTTTTGTNGGTCATCTCCGAGCAAGCGAGGAACAAATTTTGCAGACACCCGTCTCATGTGCAAACCTTCGGTTAAAATTCGCTGGACCGTGCTCCATGAGATGTTCGTTTCCTCAGAAAGTTGGTCAATGGTCTTTCGACGATCTTCATCAATTGCACGTTTGATTTTGGCAATGTTTTCGTCATTTCTTCCTGTCGAAGGACGCCCGGGGCGTGGCATGTCTTCTGTTGACATGTTGCCAGATTTGAAACGGGAAAACCACTCGTAGACCTGTGATTTCCCCAAAGCATCATCATTAAAGGCTTGCCGAAGCATCCCAACAGTCTCGGCTGCAGTTTTCCCTAACAGAAAGCAAAATTTCACACATACTCTTTGTTCCTTCTGGTCGGCCATCTCACTAATCGCCAAAGGGTTGAAACAGGAACGCACACAACAGAGCACCACAGACAAACCACTTAACTCAGACTGACGCCAGCTCACTAACAGTCGCGGGAGACCCCCAGCTAACACCACCTAGCAGCACAACCTGTAACTACAAAACATGCGCGCGCAACAGGTCGGTTGCGGTTATTTTTGGGTCCCACTTCGTATATTTGGCGAGAATTTGTCCAGTGATTGAGACTAGCTCTTTCTAACGGGCCCAACTGAGTAGGTCTATCTTGCCCCCATCCACCTGAGGACAGAAACAGATCCCATCTCTCAAACGTGTTTTTTTTTTTTTTCTTATATATACCAGCCAATGGATAGAGTCTGAAATAAGCCTTACAGTTCTTTACATGAAAATTTTAGTTTGTTTATCTTTGGTTGATATAGGTTGAAATGGAGGACACCACAGCTGAGGATGACAAAGAGGAAGAGTTAAAAGAGGGTGATGATGAAAAGGAGGAAGACAGTCAGGATGGAGATGAGGTAAGGCCACTTGCAGAGTCTTCTAGCAGCAGTCCTGGTAAGACAGACTCGTAGTGTAATGAGAAAAGAACGGAGTTAATAGCGGTAATTTTCATCTCTCTTCAACTCTTACACGTGTGTTGAAAATGTCTTTTGTGTTCTAAATACTGTGTATTGATTTATGTGGATAGCAACAGAAAGATCGTGCAAATGGTGGTAGGAGGCTAAGTTCAGCCTTCTGTTTAATTTAGATGTTTTGTAAGGTTTTGTACATGGACCTGTATGAAACTGCTTCACTGGTGTATTGAAACAATGTGGATGTAGTTAACTGAGTGGCTGGTTTCACCAATTATTTCACTAATCTTTCATGTTATGCAGGACACAGCTTCCCCATATGTCACAAATGTAGGCGTTGTGTGGTGAGGGTTTGATTACATTAACCCTTTGACGTGGACATTTAAATTCCGCGGCTCCTGCGGTAATATATTCAGCCGGCCATTTAAATTTTGCTCGAAAATTATTTATTCATCATTGTTCTTAAATTCTATGAGATAGGAACATGAAACTTTCACTAAAATGATCTTAAAAGGTGGTTTTATAACCTTACCTTATAATATGAACCCCCTTTATATCTTCAATGGAAGCAGGTTGTTTAGTATTTGAGCAGTGAATGGTACGCTTTGAAGGATGAAACTTTCACTAAAATGATCTTAAAAGATGGTTTTATAACCTTGCCTTATAATATGAGCACCCGGTATCTCGGCTATGTAAGCAGGTGACGCCTTGAAGCATTAGTCTAAACACAGCGCTGGCTCATATTCACCAAACCAATACTGCGTATCTTTACTTTTGCTTTTTTTTTNAAATCCGCCACTGACGTCCTAACTGAGAATTCAACACTGCAAACCAATCCCTGTATGAGCCACACTTCCTTGAAAGCTCCGGCAGCACGGCTATGAAAGTGCTTACGAATATTTCCTCCTCTAACTTCTCAAAACAAAGCTGACCTCTATTGGCTCACCAGGTCATAAACAGTCATATCTAAACGTAAATAGTTTCGAAACCAGTACCCTGATAAACGATTTCATTGTTCAGAGCTAACAAATAAACATCTGACATGAACGTTCATGAGTTTGTTTGGGTTTCAAACCCAAGGTCAAACTGCCAGCACTCACAAAGGAAGCACGTGGCTTGTCCCTAAAAATTATAACATTCGGCCAGCTCGGGGTGATACTTGATGCGAATAATTATAACATTCGGCCGTTAAAGGTTAAATCCCTGACGAAACATACACGACGAACCACGGCAACGGGTTAAGTACTCTGCCTTTGACATAGTTGCATACAAATACAGAGGACTGCGATTAGAGTCATTCAGGCTCAACACACGTACACCCATACCAAATAATTTTCAAGCTTAGTTGTGGGGTCCCTCAGCATGACATTATGAACAGTTTCTGTCAGCCTGACAAATTCAGTGGATTGTGGTTTAGTGATGGTTTCCATGTCTACAACTGTGAGGTTAAATGTAGCAGCATTTTGGACACCATATACATGGTAATATTTGAGCTGTATCGCTCATACACTTAAAACTTCACAAACCATGGGAATTATGTAGTTATGACTGTGATTACCTATAAATCACATACTGAACATTCACAATGGGTGTCCTATAACAGACTTGCAAGTTTCAAGTACACCCATGCAACAGATGAATTTGGAACCTCTTAGTGCTTTCTTTTTATGCTGCTTTTATTGGTAACAAAATTGATCACTCTGTGTAATAATTCAGTTATCCTATAAAGAAATGTCAGGGTATCAGAATCTGTATAGGAATTGTGTATGGGCTGGACAACCAAGGAGTTGGAGTTTGAATCCTCGTAGATGTGAGATTTTTCTCCTCTCCACATCATTCAGACTGGTTGTGGGGCCCGGTCAACTTCCTACCCAGTGGGTACCAGTGGTTCTTTCTCCGGGGGTAAAGTGGCTGGGACGCAAAGCTGACCACTCACCTCCAACTAGTGCCAGGGCCAAGAATACATGGATCTATACATCCACTTCCTCATACATCGTCATGGCATAGTGGTTAATTATTTAAGTATACGGGCAACTGTACATTTTGAAAAGAAACTTCGTGGGAAGTTATTGTTTGTTGAATGTTGAATATATTTTATTTCTGACATATTTAAGTACAGATATAGCACCAGTGATTATGTTGTGATTATGTATGATTATACAGATTCAGTGGTAACTGATTGAAAATGGATGCAGCATGACGTATATGAAAGGGCAAGTGTGACTTACAGTAATAACTTTATTATTGCAAAAAGGTTTCCTGTACTGCCAATTTCTTTATGTTGCACATTGGAAAAAGTCTCACACATGACCTCATTTCTGACACTTTTGTGATACAGAAATAGTTCACCACTTAGAACTTGTATGAATGTGGGGTTTTGATATTGAGTAAACCTAATTTTGGCTGACTTTCCTTTCTTGTGAATTCATCGTTCTCAATATATGTCTGTCCCGTTTAACTTTTGAGACTCTTAACCGATTTTCAGAAATTCTTGAATAAAAATATGCAGTTGGAGGTCATCACAACCATGTGCATTATGATTTCCTGCAGTCCATAATAAGAACATGGCAGACATGCAAACATATGAGGTAGGAGCAACAGTAGCCCCACGTCTTCAAGGGCAGTAATTTTTTTCTGCGGAAATGTTAAACAAGACAATGGTAACCTGCCAGAAATCTGTATTTAGCCTTCAGTTTGGTGGTGATAACTAAATGACTTGCAGCTATGTATGTGCAGTTTATGTTCATAAGTCAGCAATTACAAATGTGGTTAACTGTGAATCTCTGGTGTTTTATGGGATAGTTTTAATGTAGACAAAATCTGTGCTGAAGGACACTGTAACCACAGTGAAACTCTTATGGCTTATTATGCGAACTTCATTATAGTGACAAATTCTTGACACCACCATTTTTGTAATGTTACATGTGTGGAAAAATCTCGCCCAAAATGATTCTTTTTCTTGATACTTTCATTATTGCAGGTGATTATGAACTGGCTGCAACTTTTTCTGTAACTCTTGTCGTTGGTTATACTTATTCTTGTTTCCTAAGATATTGTGTAGCAGGCAAGCAGGAAAGGTACTGTCAGGTTAGCCTGTTGACCTTTCCCTTATGTAGGGAGGGAAAGTAAACAATCTGAGTACCACATGTCTGAATAGAGAATTTATCCAATCTTGAAGCAGAAATCTTTATTGTGGATGCATCAAGTCATAATATGTGGTTCAGAAAAATCAGCCGACTCCTCAAAACGTTGTATAGTAACAGTAGGGGCCGATGTTTTTAGGACCACATTTAGCATGAATTAATGGCTTCAGGTTGGAGTTTTCATCAGTTTTTAGTCAACGAGCAGTGTCCATTATGTGATGGCATGTGAGCATCTCATTCCAGCAGAATGTTCCATTGTGTATTGCGAACAGGACTGGAAACTTTTCGGCGACCGTGCTGCATGTTCTTTAAATTAAAACGTGTTTAACTTTAATTATAGTAGTGAAATTGAAATACTTAGACTTGAATATGAAGCTTGAAGTAATAACATTGCTGTGAAGTTAACAGCTCATGGAAGAGTGAAGCGGGAAGACAGCATACAGTCAGTTGCTCTTTGTGGGAAGATCCAGTGACAGAATACCCAAGGCAGAAAATAAAGATTTGGAATCTGTGCTCTTCAAGTGGTTGTTCATGGAAAGCCCAGCTGCCATATAAATTGATTGATGGGTCATTGATTAAGGCAAATCTAACCATTTTGCGCCATGCTTAACGATGGAGGTTTTGTGTGTTCCAAAGGAGGCTTTACTCTCTTAAAGCAAGAAAAACAATTTGAACAAAGTGTTATACAGGTGCTGGTATAGTATGTAACATACACACAAATTGGTGATAGTAAGAGTAATACTAGATTAAAATCTTGAATACATGCATCTTGTTCCTTCACAATGTATCATATGTATGTAAAAAGTATTTATTCCTTCATATGTGACCAGGTTCTAATTTTTAATATGTTTACAGTTCAAGGCAGAAATTCTGATTTCAGTAGTATTCCAACATAGACCATCTATACGTGAGTCCAGCATACTAATCCTTGAGCACAAGTGCATTTTATTCTTTGATTATAAATTTATGTTCCCTAAATGTGGCAGTAGGACCATGTTAGTAGCACTGAAAGCTTGTGCAGTATGAATGCAGGCTTTACGAATTCTGCTCAGCTCATATCCTAATGAGTTTGTGTCATCTGGCATGTGACAGTGCTGATCCTGTCATGTGACATGCTGTTGCCTCTGCGTAAATCGTATTTTCGCATACAGATGTCACTGAACTGCAGAGAGACATTTAAGTGCAATTTGTTGATACTTGTAAGCCTCGGAGTATAAAGAAGTTGACAGTTGTTTGTATTTGTATCAAGATGCTGGGAAATAAGTATTTTCTTTTAATTACGTGGCCAGTGGATAGATACCTATAGTACCTTGTGGTCCCCCTGTGGTCTTAAGTTGGACAGGCCAGTTCTAGATGATGGTGATAGTGATTGTAGGAAGTGCTTTACCATTTACTGTTACGAAGGACCTGTCTGAGTGGGTGGTGGTTGTTTTAATTAATGTTTAAATACTTGGACATTGATTTGTACCATTTAGTGTTGTTGTGCATACTCTTAAATTTTTGTATTTCTTAAATTTGTTCAATAAATATTTTTGTCAGAAAGCTCAGTGATTGATTCCATATACTAAATGTATTGAAAGCATATGTGTCTATTTTTTTTATATATACAGTAAAACTTGTCTTAAATGGAATCTCAAGGGTCTAGAACATTTTTCTGCTGAAGCCAGGTTTCTATTTACTCAAGGTATACTATAATAATTAAACCAGGACATGGACATATTTGAGATACCATACTCATTAATTTATTCACACTATAATCATTGAACACGTGCAAACATTACATTGAGCAGAAAGAAATTGCAG